AGTATAGTAAAAGTTTTTCTTCTTGTAAAGTCAATCCGGAGACATACGGTATACCGATTTTTTTTAAATTTTTTAGCCGTTTATACCTAAATATACATTTGTTCCCCATGCCTTACATTCGAGGGATGGTCTTTTGTAAATTAGTAATATACAGGCTGATTCAAATTCGAGGGCCACCATGGCAGTGCCGTATTTATATAAGGGGCAAACGTGGACAATTGCCCACAGCGGCAAAATTGTAAGGGCGGCAAATTTGGAGGAAAACAGAAAAATTAAAATGCGTTCAAATTTTTTAGGTAAACGGTGAATCGGTAAATGAAATGAAGCAAAAATAAAAACTGTTAGTACATTCATTGCATTGCAAATATAGCCAATGAATGCCTTACTTTTCCCACCTTGTAATAATGGTGATATAGTGATATGTCAAGGGCGGCAAAAAATGTTTGCCCACAGCGGCAGAAACCCTAAAGCCCTATTCAGATAGGTGGTAGTGCAGTGCTGTTGCGATGCGGTGCCTTTGTATAAAAGTTTGAAATACGCATACCCATATGGCAAGGCAATTCACAATGACATGTGCAGTGCAGACGAATTGTAACCACGTGCCTAAACTATGTAAACTTCAAACTTTCTGCACTACAGTTAGCAAGCACCAATAGAAGCGCAACCTATTTGTCGTGGCGATCTGTCAAAGCAAATTTGCTGCTGCTGTTGTCGTTGATTGGTCATACTTGTGTAGGCGGGCCAATTTTGCGGTGATTGTGAAAGCAAATGTCAACATGACAGCACCAGCCCGCACCGCACAACAAGGCAACGGCACCGCACTACCACCTATCTGAATGGGGCTTAAATCCGGCACTGCACCATGGGTATCTCGGGAACTGTAAGAGATAGGTAGGTGGTAAATTTGGCAAAGTTGTGTATTTTGATGCTTAACAAAAACAGTTTTGAAACTGAAAATTCTGACTACTTTCGGAGATATCCGGAAAAAACGAGATTTTGAAAATCGTTTTTGTTTTTTACTGAAGTTAATAGTTGTTTACAAAGATATTTAATAATAAATGACACATTATTATGGCCCCTTTTTTCCCTCTACAAGATGCTACTTTTAAATTTGAAGTTTGACGTTTCGTCTCTGGTTAACTATCATCAACTTTGTTTCTTATGGAAGTAATTTTTACTTTTTGTGTCATTTGATAGAGAATTTTTTTCTGATTTCAAAAATGTACACATCAATTTTTTTAATGCTTGTAAAATATCTTTTTTGCCTTTGTCTTAAGTAACGTAGTAAGTAGTTTCTTGCGTTTTTACGAATTAACGTTATTTCTTATTAAAAATAGATGATGTTACCATCAAGGGTAACTTTGTCAAATGTAAACTACCTCTACCTATCTCTTACAGTTCCCGAGATCCCCATGGTGGCCTTTGAATTTGAATCACCCTGTATAGGTCAATTATTACACATTCATTACACTAAACTAACTAAACTAATACCACAGATATACGTAAAGAATATCTGTGCTAATACTAATATGTAATAGGTACTATCATTGAATAAAGAGCTTTATTCAATGGAACTATTGAAGTTCAAAAAATTTAATTTGCAACAAGGTATGGATTATAAATTACGGTATTTTAATCTGCAATCAGCAAAGATAAAGAATAGGGAAGACGGTCAAACAAATCGCATTACAAATAAACACCCACACAAGGTCGCATCTTGCCAGACATCAACAACAATATACAACAGCCCTTTGTTCTAAAAATTACGTAAAATTTTGATATTTGTTGTAAAGGAATGTTACCTATCCCCATTTCTATTATTTATTTCATAAAACGATAGGTAGAGGAGGTACCTTTTGCAATGAATAGGAAAGAGAAACCAAATAAATTTCGAAGCAAGTAGTTGACAAAATAAAAATATACCAGTGAACGATCTTTTTCTTGCTGTCAGCAAATTCTATTACACGCACGCTCTGTTCAACCTTGAAAGAGAATCGCTAAATGATTTAGCATATGCAACTTACATAGCCTGCTAGTTTTTTTTTGCTCGTAAATTTTTGGTCTTTTATTATCCCCATTACACAGTACTAGTACTAGCCTAGTTAAAAAGTAAGAACAACTCCATCGCAAGATAAAAGCGCTTACCTATTTCATATCTTTATCGTATTTTTTACTGACTTCATAAAACTCTTGGTGGCACCCTCTGTGAGAAAGAAGCTACACTGTTGACCGCGATATTAGTCACAGCTGCGTAGTTTATTTCCATTTCTCCAGTTTACATGCCCATTTTTCAGAACTTCATTCACCACTTTTTTTATGAAAACTTTTGAGCTTCACATGAATTGCCAAAATATAGATAAGTATTCACGCTACCGATCCCATACATCCGTATTGCTTAAAATGCTCCATAATTTTTGCAATTAATTCCTAAACTATGAACTCTTTTGACGCATGTTTTCTGGATTTTTTAAACATATATTAATGGACAAAATATCAGTTTATATTGTATGGAAACTATACTCTGTACATCTATCTACCTAATGCATATTTTTCCGATCATATACACCCCTTGCTTATGGAATGGTGAATGAAGTTCAGAGGCAATGCACGCCCCATTGAATTACATGTGCATCACCAGTTGCCTATACTCTCTAAATCCAAACCTTAACTGTCAAGTGAAACTACTTACCTATAACGATGGTCCTTAATAACTAATTGGATGGTGCTGGAAGAGTTTGACTTGAACAACCTCATGTCACTGCCCTGCCCATCTTGTACGGTTTTAAGGGAGTACTATAAAAATAAACGTGTCTTTGAAATGTACTCGTAGATTATGTTACTGAAATGATGAAACCTGACCCGTGGTAAATTCACCTTTACTGGTACACATACAAAGTTAATAAACACCTCAATTTCTAGAGCATTTATCCCACTGCTGAACAAGACCAAGAATGTTGCATTCCCAGAATTCCCTCGGGTGTGAAGCGATCCAATTGCAGACCTCGTTCTGCACTTTTGCGAACGACATGAAACGGCGACCTTTGTAGTGCTTCTTCATGGGTCCAAAAACCTGGAAATCGCCGAACACATTCTGTCTGTAGTGTACCTAACTGAAACTGTTGTCACCATCCACAGCAGCCATGCTGCGATGAATCTCACTCAGCTTAAGAAGGGCAGTCATGCCGATAGGTGGCGACAGAGTTAGAATACCACCTAAATTTTAAGCATACAAATACCTAAGTCTTTTACGAATGAGTAGGAAGTTTTTGAATGTTGTATCGGAAAAATGAAGACTTGGAGGATTTACATGCAAATCAATAACTAAGTATCCGATAAATCGAAATTAATAGTTACACGACCATTGATTTTTATTTGTCCAAAGAAGAACGACAATCTTTACTTTAATACCTTCACAATGATACGGTGAAAATGCATACTTTTAGATCTAATATAGTAGGAGAGCTGGTGGACATTTTTGGGTAAGTAGTTGAGGTACGCTGAAAACTTGTCCACCTCTTCTCCAATAATACCCAAACACAGAAATGGAGACCTGACTGAGGAGAAGCAGGGTTAACACCTTACCAGGCGCCTTCACAGGGAGATAGCGCACCCTCTCATATCGATAATCTACGATCAGCTGTTACGCTGCGTTCTTCTCTTTCACATGGCAGAATATACATGCTTCTCTCTAGCGCGCTACATACAATTGTGACAACCCTACTGTTCCGCGTGAAACAGTTAACAGAAGGACGCAGCGTAACAGCTGATCGTCGGTCGTGTACGCATCGATATGAGAGAGTGCGCATGCGCTCTCTCCGTGTGATAGAAGCAGACAGAAATATTAATCACATTTATTTGTTACTCAGTTGTAAACGTTGATTAACAAGACAAAACGCAAACGGGTAAACGTCATGTTTAAACGCTACTGACTTGTAAAACTGACAGCAGACTTGTAAAACTGACAGCAGACTTGTAAAAATTTTACAAGTTAGTAATCTAGTCATTTCATTGGCCAGAATTAATGCGAAGTCTCTGTTACATGGATCACATGATATTTTAGACATTTCTTCAAGATCAATTTAAGAACTAATTATTTACGTTTACTATTGTTTACAAATGAGTAACAAATAAAATATTGTACATTATACGCCAGGTAATAGTTTTTACTGGCTCTAGGAGATGACAGGCTCGCCTAACGGCTCGCCAGTCAACTTCTCCTATCGCCAGTAAAAACTCACTTACCTGGCTAATAATGTAAAATACTATAATTTCCAATAAAAGGTAGTCTTGACTTCATTTTTTTAGGCAACCCATTTCCAATGTGTTTGTTTAAATATTAAGATTGCTAAAAAAAGCATCTCACTCGGGAGAAGGTTGGCCTTATGTGAGATCTTAGACTATTATCACAGATCTACACATACACAGATTGCTAACCTTATGCATTTTTTGGGAAACAAATTTAGGTATACTTAAAAGCGCCCTCTATTGCGGAGCAGTATAAACATATACCGTTTAAAACTGTAATATGACGCTTATGGATTTATGCATTAGATGTCGCTGCAAAAAATTTGAAGCGGTAAAGTGCATAATTCGAATTCGTTACTCGTTATTTTTAGCATTTGATATTTGTAATCGGTGAATTTATTTTGTGATTTGTTTCGGACTAGTTGTTTCAGTGTGTTATTGTTTAACTAATTTTGTTTCAACGACATCTAACGCATAAATCCATAAGCGTCATATTACAGTTTTAAACGTTACATGTTTATACTGCTCCGCCATAGAGGGCGCTTTTAAGTATACCTAAATTTGTTTCCCAAAAAATGCATAAGGTTAGCAATCTGTGTATGTGTAGATCTGTGCTATTATATACTTATATACTTTTATTAAAATTAGACATAATTGGCAGTAGGTATGTCAAATAGTACCTATTGATTGTTTTCGATGTTGTAGATAATTCGACACCAGCAGTTCATTTACTAACTTTAATGTTTTATTTGCAGCACCAAACGTGGAATAGACTTGGGTCTCGGGCGCGGTTATTCTGGTTCTCAAGCTGCCAAACATCTAATGGGTCTTGCTGCTGCCAACTTCGCCGGCGGGCCCGGACGAAGACGTCGCAGCGTCGATGACGCATAATTTCAAAGAGAATATTTACATAAAAGTTAAACCCTCGATGTTATTTTTATTATTTCAAATTTTGTTATTTAGATTTCAACTTTATAAAACTATCAAAATGTTGGGCTATGTGTAAACTACAATTAAAAGTGGTATATACTATGTAAATTAGGTACCTAGTAATAAAAATGACGAAAAATTAAAAAAAATATCTACTTATAGTCATACATTTGCTAGACATTTAGAGGGCACTATTTACTTTAATTATTATTTTTGTTGAAATATACGCATTGTACAGTGGCACTATTGTATTTTATTTCATGGCGTATAAAATAACTAAAGAAAACTTGTTGTGTTTCAATTTCAAGAGGGGTTTACAAATAAGTACCTAACGAAAGCATGTAACGTAGCACATGCGTTCTTTGACCTTGTTTCATGTTTGAGTAATTTCCTAGTCGTAGTTCCGTAACAAAATTGCGTTTTTTTTTTCTCAGCGGCTTTTTATGTTGGAGTACGGACTCTCAATTTCAAATTTGCTACGTTGGCGTTGCAGAGAATTGGTTCCAGACGGAAAACCGCAAGAAACTTCTACTACACATCGGGAAAGCTGTACCTTTTCGAAGATGATCACTCTAAGTATTAAATTTCTGAGAATACATTAATGAAATTTCTGGTGGATAATATTGGCGCTAGAGCGCAACCAAGAATAGTGACGTTCTTGTCGTTTCGCAAAAACAAAATATCCACTACGCTACAACTCCAAAAGCAGGAAACAAAAATTTCAAATTCATCAACCAAAAAACCATAAAACTCTGAGAAAAAACTCCAGATATTTTGTTAATGAGAATGTCATAGACACAGCAAAATGTAAGAGTTTGCAATTAGTGCCTCTCCACAGTTATTTTGCAGTCATGAACATTGTTGCAACCAAATTCAAGTTATTACGTCTATATCGGATTGAAATGGGCTGAATATCAAATTCAACAATGTGCAGAGTGGTTTGCTTGTTGGTGCGTTTTCAACGCATCCAGAATAGGTGCTCCTTTTGTCCGTTGGCATATTACAAACGTATTGCGGTCATTATTCAGAATATATCTCTCTGTATAATTGGAGCCACATCTGTAAAACCAACGAATATAGTAAGTACTGTAATAATCCCAGGCCAGCCCCGACGGACCACACAACTTAAATTCAAGTGAACCTTTCCTCCTAACACTATCTGAATCCCAAGACACATGACGCGTGCACACAGCATTAGTATAAAAGAGAAGAACGAGAATCTAGAAGAAATATATAATGAAAAGATTGATATGGAGTAGCAAAGAACAAAACGACGCGAGGACTGCGCTGCTGGGGATGTGGCAAAACGGGCACACTAGAAGAAATTGCCCTGAGAACACAGCAACGGGCTACCAATAACCAAGAAAATCGAGTCCATGGGAAGACCGCCTCGCGATGAAGCTCTTGTGCCTTAGGCTCCCACTGGTTTTGTTCGTGTTTTCTACATCTCATTCATCTTGTCCGGAGTCTTCGTCTATATCATCAAACGTCGGCAATAGAATGATATCATCTGGGTCTTCGTCTCCGAGTCGTTCAAAATTTTCGCCATATTCTCGCAAGAATTTCTCGTGCAGTACCTACATGCAAACTATGGAACAATTCAAACCCGCCTTTCTGCAGCCGCATGCTGGGACTCATCCTTTTTTACACTTGCATGAAATGAATTTCACAAGTACTTCTCGAGCAGGCTCTTTAGTTGTTTTAAGAAGAGTAAGTCCGACATTACTCCTTTTCCATCCCCATTCTTCCGGATTTTTTTCAATACCATACCAGGCTTGATCTTAGATGATAGGTGCGCAATGAATGTTGTCTAGCAGCACTGCTGTGGGGGGAAAGCAAGGTTGAACTTACTCTTTGTCGCCGATCTCGAAAACTGCTGATATCGAAGAAAATCCAGGGATGAATCCTTTTGAGATACTCCATATATAGTTTGATCAGGAATTTTTCTCCTGCTTCTGCGATTGCGTTGGCGTCTGCACTTTCTTCCTTGATAATATCATTCAACTCCGGGAATTTAAACATCATCTTGAGGAATTTGTTCTTGCCTTGGTTGAAAATGGCAGACTTTGTATCACATCCACTGAAGGCGAGTAAAAACAATATATTGTCCGCATAATTCTTGGTTCGCATATACTTCGTACGGAGTAAATCTTTTCTGCAGTTTTTCCCTTGCCCGGTTTTAAGAAATAAACATTTGGGTGATGATTTCCTAGTGCAACTAAAAGTACCAGTAGGTCGATGTCTTCTCCAACGATAAACACAGAGTTTGAGCATGAGGCTGTGAATATTGTTGTCCTAACAATTAAGGTGTCCGCGTGTCAACAAACCGAAAGGAGGGGATGGAATGCGACCATTTTTGGATATAAATATTATTATCGATTACCTATGATGCTTTTAGCAATGAATACCTATAAGTAATAATATCATCTGAATAATTGAAAAAACTGCACTGCTGGACCGTAAGCAATTGTACCATCGATGTTGGAATAATTTGCTATAACTTATACCAATGTGACTCCTAAACCATTGGTCGCACAGAAAAACCTATTGTACCAAAGTTGTAGAGAATTTTCTCCTCTAAAATTTTTGTTATCACTGTTTTTCAACTACGAGGTACTGGAAGAGAGATATCGTGAAAAAACTGATTTTGGACGCCGTCTTTTCAATGTGGCGGCGCCAGCGGCGGCGCGGCATGACGCAAACTTAGGGTGTTATTATATGCACCGTAAACTAACTACTAACATTATATATGGTCATGAAGATGAACCGATTTGCAAATTTTCAAAACTCCTGTATTTTTTTCCAGGTAAATCTACCCATTGCTTGGCCTATATTGGCTTTCAGGTGCATAGATCTTTAGGTCCCGGAAATTTTGGCCAAGATCTCGAAACTTTGAATCTAATTTCTGCGGGAAAACGAACAAACACACATCTGGACGCTCAAGAAGTTAATTCCATGAATTTTTCGTTACCACGTGCATTTTTACATTTTCGTAAAGGAATTGCCCTGAAGTAACTAATTCTTTTGGAAAAAAGATTTAGGGAAAATGAATCTTTTGTAAATCGTTTAAAATTACATTATTACAATAACAGTTCTTTGTTCAATTTTTCAATCACAGATTTTCTCCTCTTAACACTCAAATATAAACTCCCCTCTTATGATGCGATTTTTTTATTTATACAGAGTAGGTACTTACCTATTCTTAAATGAAGTACCTACCACAAATGATTACCAGCAGTGCCGGATTTAGGGGGGGGGGGCTATTGAACTATTAGTCCCCGGCGCAGTGTTGCCAGTTCTGGTGAATTTTCACCAGATCTGGTGAATTACAGTCTTTGGTAGTGATTTGGTGAATATTGTTGTAATTTGGTGAAATTTGCTTGCAATTTGCTGAAACTGAAGTCGCAAAGATTAAAAAAGGCGACAATACCCTAATGTTTGCTATGTTAATTAAAACAGTAGCATTAATTTACTGTTTGCCTCATAGCAGTGCCACAGTTGAAAGAGTATTCTCGCAGATCAATTTAAATAAAACAAAAATTAGAAATCGTTTGCAAGCGAGTACTTTAACTGGCATTATGCATTCGAAAACTCTAATTAACGGTAGTCAAAAAAATTGTTACGATTATACCATTAATAAAAATCTTGTTAAAAAACATAACAACACAATGTATGAGTAAATAGGTTATAATTAATAAATAATCACCGAATTACTGTTATCTGTTACTATTTTTCTATAAATAAAATATTTAAGTTTTGTGAATACCATCCTTTTAAGTTAGAATTAATAATTACTGTTGTGTTTGTGTTACTCTTTTTTTATAAATAAAAATTTAAAAGTTTTGTGTACTGTAGAATACCATCCTTAATTCCTTTTACTGGTAATATACTTTTGGTGATTTTGCAGTAAAAACTGGTGATTTTTGTACATGGCTTTAGGTGAAAAATGTTTTTCCCACCTGGCAACACTGCCCCGGCGGTAAATTTTGAGAGGCGGTACGTCGTCGCTCCCGTCACGTTAAGAGGCTTCTATACCCGTCGCTTAGTTTCTCAGGGGCCTGCGGGGTGTAAATTTAGAGTACTGAGGAGGCGGTACTACAATTCGCAATATCGTTTCCCTCCGTACATTTTCGTATGTAGGTACGCATCTTTCCCTTTCCGTTCCGCGCACACAATATTCAGATTCACTATAATCAACAACTCAAACATGAAACAAAACGTAAAATAGGTGTTGTTGCTATAATATAATCAGCATCGATTGAAATCCGTCAATCAACGCCAATTAATCGGTCTAGACTCTAGTATACCTATATTCACGGAGACGCATTTTCCTTGACTAGAACAATGGGTGACTGTAGAAAAGAAAAGGTGAGTTGAGGCCACGTATGAAATAGGTAACAAAATCCGTAAGCAAAAATGGCAAACTGATCTAGAAGTACTAAGACTAATTTTCCTCGGTAGTGAAGGGGTGTCGTGTCGGCACATCAGGTGGATAAACAATTAATTAGTTTGTTACTTACGTAACTTTCGTAAATCGTAATACTGACCAAACTGATTGCTGTTTTTACCACCCGCACGTGTAAGGGCATTGGGGTAAAAAATGATCCCCCACTTTTGACGAAAATACACGTTTTGAAGCACCAGGAATCCGATTCAACCAAAATCTTGATTATGTCCGTCTGTACGCTCATTTCTGGCGAAACGCCTGAACCGATTGGAACCAAATTTGGTACACCAGGCATGTCAAATACGCGGGCCGCGGGCCACATGCGGCCCCCCCTTCTGAAACCTGCGGCCCATCACGATTTTTGTAAATTATAAAATTTAATTGTACCTACCGTGTGTCCTATTTTGGTTGAGACTGCAGTGTATCTCAGCTGTTTTTAAAGATAGACTTGTGGTTTTGTGAAACGCATAATACCACAAACAAAGCCAATCTAGCTGCGTTAGATTCTGAGATACAAGGTGAAAACGAAAAGTTTCTGAGATTTGACCCAAAGTTGGATTGAGTAAAGGCAACACTATGTATATCTTAACGTCAATTTCATTCCTTTTCCTGATTACATTGATGTATCACAACTTATTTTTTTTTTAAGTTTTAGCGTTGAAACCATAAAAACCTTAGTTTTTACTTCTTTAAATAGTAGGAAATAATAAATAAATAAATAGAGATTTTGTTTTGTTTATTGTCTCCATTGTAACTACAGCAGTCGATGCCAATCAACAAAAATGGCTGACGGTAC